AAGCATCTGTTAGGCGCCAGGCATGTTTTAGGTGCTCTGGGGCTGGGGAATCGGGTCTGGAGAACCCCTTGCACTTAATATTGCTATCCGAAGGAGTGTCTTCATTTTTTTTTTAATTTAAATTCAGTTAATTAACATAAAGTGTAATATTAATTTCAGAGTGGAGTTCAGTGATTCATCAGTTGCGTGTAACACCCTGTCTCATTATATCACGTGCCCTCCTTAATGCCCATCACCCAGTTACCCCATCCCCCACCCAAGGGGAGGTTCTTATGGGTTGAATTGTGTCTCCCCACAATTCACATGTTGAAGTCCTAACCCCCAATACCTAAGAATGTGACCTTATTAGGAAGTAGGGTCATTGCAGATGGAATTGTTTGAGTTAGGATGAGGTTTACTGGGGTAGGGGGACCCCTCATCCAGTATGACTGGCGTCCTTATACAAAGGGGAAATCTGGACACAGACGCACGCACAGGGAGAATGCCATGCGAAGATGAAGCAGAGGTGGGGATGATGCTTCTACAGTCAAAGGTCACCAGCAAACCACTAGCAGCTAGGGAAGAGGCTGTCACATGTTCTCCCTCACAGTCCTTAGAAGGAAACAGCTCTGCTGACATCTTATCCTGGGCTTCGGGAAGTGTGGGAGAACAACTGTGTGTTGTGTGAGCCCGGCCTACTGTGTTTTGTCTGACATCCCCAGGAAACCAGTACAGTGGAACTCACCCTCGGGGATTCTGGCTGTACCCCCAAAGCTCTTACACTCTCCACGTAGCCATTCCCCACCGTGAGGCGTCCGGGTCCCAAGAATCTGGCCTCTGCTGTTCCCAGAACAGCCAAGCTCACTGCTGCCTCCAGCTGGTGAGCAGCTCTCTGCTAGCAATGCTCTCCTTCCTGATTCTCCGGGGCTGGACTCCTTGGCATCAGCTCTGGGCCCTGACATCACCATGAGAGCCCATCTTCTCCAGCCTGCCCACGGCATCTGCCACTACCTCCCCCTCGGCCCCCATGGATCTCTCTCCTTCAGAGCCCTTACCATGAGCCGAAATGTGTCTGTGTGTCTGCTCCTCAGCTTTTGCATTTCCTCTGCTGCAACGTAAGAAGCGCAAGGACTAGGCTAGCATCTTTCCATCCCAGTGCCCAGAAGAGGGTCAGGCTCACAGGAGATGCTCAAACCACGCAGGGAGCCGACAGGTGCCGATGAGGACCTTAGAACACGCACTGCTGGCATTCAGCCCGTGACAACCCGGAGAGCTCTTCTGGGCCCTTCCCAACCTCTTCTCATGCTGTCACCTCTCCATCTGCTAGAGAAGGAGGAAAGGGCAGAGGAGAACTTTCCTTTAAAGGAAACACCTTTAGGGCGCCTGGGTGGCTCAGCCAGCTGAATGACTGTCTTCAGCTTGGGTCATGGTCTCGGGGTCCTGGGATCGGGCCCCGCATCAGGTTCCCTGCTCAGCGAGGGGCCTGCTTCTCCCTCTCCCTCTGCTGCTCCCCCTATTTGTGCTCTCTCGCTCTCTCTCTGTCAAATAAATAAAAATAAAATCTTAAAAAAAAAATAAAGGAAACACCTTTAAAAAAGTTATTAAATAATAAATAATAAAATCATGGCAAAATAGAAGTAATGCAAAATTGAACATTTATGCATATAGTTCAGTGTCATCGAGGACATTCACGTTGTCATGCACTGTCCATCTCCAGAACGCTTTTCATCTGGCAAGACTGAAGTTCTACCCACTCAACACTAACCCCCCGCTCCCGCTCCCGGCACCCACCCTCACACCTTCTGTCTCTGTGAGTTTGGCTGCTCTAGCTACAGCATATATGTGGAATCACACAGTGTTTGTCCTTTCATGGCTGGCTCATTTCACTTAGCATGATGTCCTCAAGATTCCTCCATGCTTCAGAACATCCTTCCTTTTCAGGGCTGAGTAATATTCCATCTGGTGGCCATACTCTCTCTTATTTATCCATTCACCCTTCAATGGATCATTGGGTTGCTTCTGGCTTTTGGCAATTGTCAGTAATGCTGTTGTGACTATGGGTATGCAAATATCTTCTCTAACTTTTTAATCTGCAACCAGAGTGATTACGATTCTATTTGGAACTCTACATTATCAAGGAGCCAATTGTTTTGTTCATCTCCTCGTTTGATCTCTGGGTTGCAGGCCTCCTGAGAGAAGGGACCCAGCAGATGGGAGTTTCCACCATCTCCCAGCTGGGAGCGTGGAGCCAGGCACGTGGGAGATGCATGGGAGACACCCGTGTTTGTCAGGGCAAAGGAAGGATGAAAGAAAGCCTGCTCAGGCCACACACACCCCTAAGAGGGGCATCCTGTCTGTGGTGATCGTCCGTACAGCTCCCACGACTGCCGACGTTCAGGGCCCGGCACATGGTGCTGTAATGAAGCACCACGGCCTGGGGGCTTAAACAACAGGAATGGATGCTCTCACAGTTTGGGAGGCCAGAAGTTCAAAGTCTTGATGTCAGCAGAGTTGTGCTCCCTGGAAAACCTGTGGGGGAGGCCCCTTTCTCACCTGTCCCTACTTCTGCGGCAATTCCTTGACTAATAGATGCCTTGCTCCAGTCCTCCACCCTCACGAGACCTCTCCCTCCGCGAGTCTGTGTGTCAGTTTCCCCTTTTTATAAGGACACCAGTATATGGATCAGCACCCACCCTAATGACCTCTATAAAGACCCTATTTCCAAATAAGGCCACATGCTGAGGTCCTGGGGTTAAGACTTCAACATACCTTTTGGGGGGGTTGGTTATGATACAACCCACCAGGTTGGGCCTGCATTTCCCCACCCCTTTGTAATGCCGCACCCCAGGTGGTCTGCTTTGGGGGTCAAATGTGAGCGGAAGCGAGGGCCTCACTTCCAGGCCAAAGCACAGCTACCCAGGGGCCCTGAGAGCTGCTTCCTCCTGCATCCGTGACCCAGACCCATATGCTGGTCATGGAGGTGGAGCCTCGTCAGCCTGGGTCCCTGACCGACTACAACTGACAAAAACTCTGTCCTTGACCAAACCTTCCTCAGACCCCTCTGGGCCCTCTTCTCGTCGGGGCCTCCCTCATGGCCTCCCCCTGTCCATCCTTGCCAAGCCCAGATCAGCAAGAATCCTAGGCCGGTTTTCAGAGAGTCCCTGGACCCTTGACATGTGACCGAATTCCTCTTCCACACCCCTAATGGCCAGGCCCTGCGTCTGAGTGCTCAGCCTGCCCTTAGGGAGAATCCCCCCACCCTTGCTGTCCCCTCTTAGCAATTTCCACCCACGACCCCCCTCGCTGCTCCTGGGCTGAAGCCCCACCCGCCCGCCGTATTCAGCGTTGAGTTTCAATCTCTCTCCCCTGTTGCAATCCTGGAATTAAGTCTTCCTTTCTGTTAGAACCGGGGTCAGAGCAATTTTTCTTAAATTCGGCCAGCAGCAGCCCTGCAAGGATAGGACACAAGGTCGAGAAAAGCCTCAGTCCCAGTGCCACGCGGGCTGTGGGGCAGACTCCGTGGTGCCCTTGGGGCCTAGGGCAGTCAGTGTCTGGTGCCTGGCAGACACTCCGTGAAAAACCAAAGGCGCCAAAATGACAGGGAGAAAGGCAAGGGTAGAAGGAATTTGCTGTAGGGCCTCCAGGGGACCCAGATTGCTGACAAGGCGTACGGGTGAAAGCAGGGGTCAGCACGACTTGTTTTTATCAGTCATCCCCTTTGTTCGCATTCTTAACTACCAGGTGCTCTCAGTTCCAGGACAGGCAGCAAGGTGATGCCAAAGGCGGCGTGAGGAGCTAGCAATGATCACAGTCCCCGGGGGGGGGGGGAGCTTTACTGACTAGGTGCCACTACGGCTGGAAGCTCTCTCTCTCTCCCTGTTTCCTAATTAAATCCTCACAGCGACTCCAGGAGATGGGTATTATTTGTATCCCCATTGTGGAGACGAGTACATTGGCACAGAGAGGTGGAGGGACTAGCCAAGGACACACAGATACTGTGTCGGGGCTGGGATCTGAACTCAAGCCGCCTTCCGGCCTCCCTGCTTCAGGTCTGGTCATAATCCAATGTGGTTTCACATCTGAGACAGGCTGGGCTTTGTGTGTGAATGTGTGCATGCGGGGGATGTTTGCACAGACCTGTGTGCATACCCATACACGTGAGGAGGACTGCGGGCAGATGCCTGGACCCACGTCTGCACAGAGTACCCGGCGCATCTCACCGCGTGCTAGCAAATTCACAGATGTTTGGCGGGACACGGTGGGTTGCACAGGTCTGTGCGGTGGGAAGGTGCAGAGCATTAGACTGCGGGTGGGTGAGGACAATGGTACCCATGCCAGGGTCTTCCGGGAACCCAGGGGGCCACCTCAATCCTCACTCAACCCGGGGTGCCCAGCACGCTCCTTGTTTCAGGCGGTGATAACCGAGCACAGCTTTGGGACAGGATCAAGTGCAGGTGAGGGAGTGGGCTAGGATGCTGGGCATGGGGCGGGGACGGATGTAGAGGAGTGAATGTAAATTAAGAGTCTGTCACAAAAACTCAGGGGAGATTATTGCAAGGGAAAGGTGACAAATTTGAGTGGTGACAGCTGCATCAGGCATAGAGATGAAGAAATGAGATGGAGAAGCACTTAGAAGACAAAAGTCCCAAGACGTGGACGCCAGACCCCGAGGGGAGTCAGGGCGCAGCTCTGGGCTGTGCGCTGCCCCAGAGGGAAGAGCCTCCCCGCATGGGTGGAAGGCTGAGTGCAAGTGGAGATACACAGCTCTTCCTCGTGAAGACAAATCCCAGCAAATTAAGACGAATGACACGCTTTGTTGCTATGGAGACATCTGTGATGCCGTACGCCCTCCCAGGATTCCACAGGACGCGGAGCTTCCGACACTGGTCGTGTCCAGGGCTGTGCCTGGCGGCAGGTCCACACTCAAGCCCCTGCTCCCCTTGACACCTTGCTCCAGACAGAGAGGCCCACAGGGGCCGTCCGTCCAAGGCGTCCTCCAGTCCTTCCTCCCCGCCCCAAGGATGTTGCCAGTCGGCGGAGCCAGCCCGCCCAAGAAGCACAGCGTGGTGCCCAACCTGATGGAGAAGGGCCTGATGCTCCTCCAGTGTGTGGCCGGCCGGGACAACCTGGTCCCAGACTGGAAACTTCGCCGGAGACAGCAGTCCCTCAGCAAGTCGGCTCAGGCCATCAGCCGCTTCTACAGGAAGAAGGTGCGGGGTCCTGGAGGGGGACGGCCAGGCCGCGGCACAGCTAACTCGGGGCTGGCCTGCTTCTCCCCCTTGACGGGAGGCCTCAGGGCCTAGGCCTTCCAAATACGCTTTGGTGACGGATGAAGATGGGCCAATTCTGGGAGTGCAAAGAACTGGCAACCCGAAAGCCTGGAAGAGAAGATGGCCGGCCGCCCTGAGCCTTCCTGGGGGGGGGGGGTCTCAAAAAGGAGCGAAGTTGGGGGAAGAGAGGACGAGGAAGGGATAGCACAGCTGGGTGGCTCCTGAATCTACTGTGGGCTCAGGGAGACCAGAGAGCCACCCGTGGCCCCCCAGGAGGATGTCCGTGGTTTCTCTAGTGGGTGCACGTGCCTGTCCTGAAGCCTTCGGTTCTCGGGAACAGGGCAGATGGCTATGGTCAGTGCACGCAGCTTCCAGGGGCTCTTCTCCCAGTGCCTTGCTGTCTCCACTCCACCAGGGCGAATACAAGCAAACCCCCAGCCCCGAGGACACCACCTTCATGGCCGAACTAGAGGAGCTGAGAAAGGCGTTTCTCAAGCGCCCTGGCTGCCCTCAGTTCGGCACCAAGGCCACGTCTATGTCTTTTTACGGTGAGAGCCACCCACGGGGAGGCCCCCCACATGGAAACCACCTCCCTCCCTGGAGGAGTGGGGCGACCTTCCTGGTGCTCGTCAGCCAGAGTGGTGGCCAGTGGTGGGAACTCACTGTGCATGAAGAAGCACCAGCTGGAGCACGCAGCACGCCCAGTGCAAGGGGGGCGGGGGGGAAGGAAAAGCCTTCTTGCTTTTCTCTTGTCTCATTCACCAGACTCAATAGGGTTGGGGGTAGGGGAGAGGGAGAAGGCTCAAAATTCTAGAAGCTGCAGTAAAGAGGTCATGAGGCCTTACTAGGAACCAACCCCAGTAAGGAGCCCAACCACCATCAGGTGAGACTGCACGCCATTCTGATCTGGGAGAACAGGTGCTCAGCAGTCACCAGGGGGCAGTGGCCAGGCCAGGCAGCACCCTAGACCTCCCAGTTCCTGGGCCCCACGCATGGCATTGTGGTTAGGGACAGGGAAATGGAAGCTTAGAGCCTGTGGCTAGTGATGGGGGCCTTGTTCATGTCAGAAGCAGGAGCCCCCACCCATTCAGGCCCTAAGCTCCCCTTTCTCAGGGCTGGAACCTCAGAGAGCAGCCAGCACTCCAGGTCCATGAATTCTGGACAGGGCTGGGATGGGCTGAGAGACCACACTGTGTCCTGCATGTGCCCGCCATTGACATGATTCATGACGGCCGAGGGGAGACGGGGTCTGCCGTTGGGGTAGAGGGGCCTCTTGGAGACTTTGAGGCTGAGCCATTTTTACAGATGGGAATGCAGGGTCCTTCCAGGGGAGGGGATGCATCAATTTGCAGAGATGAAGTTGCACCTAGTCTGTTCCAGGTGGGCATACAAATAGCAGGCAGGAGGACAGAATCACGGTTCGATTTAGTCCCAGGGTTCAATCCCATACATCCACCCACAAAAGTCACCTTTAATCCTACCTGAAGTTTAAAAAGAAATGAAATCATTGTCCCTGCCCAGGAGGTCTTGTGAAGACGTGGTCTTAGCTGTCATCAGCTAGCATTTTTAACACTCTGCAGGCTCATCCACCTCAGCTGGGGTGCCTGAGGAGTTGTGCATGGGCTTTGATTCCTGGAAGGTGACCCGGGACCCATCCTGCAGCCAGCGGTCCTCAGACACAAAGGTGGACGGTGAGGGCAGGGCCTGCCGCCGCTGGGACGAGCATGCCCCTGGGGTCCTCTTCTTGGCAGGCCAGCTCTGAGGCCTCTGCCTGCACCTACCAGGACCTCTGCTCCCCTCAGGGCTCCCTGATTATGCCCCCATGGGACTCCCTTCCCAGGACCACCTGCCTGACCCTATGCCCCTTACACAGGATGCATCCCTCCTTGAGTAGAATGCACTGTTCCCACGCATGAATATACTTACTTTGGTTTATCCAAAGATGATCTCTGCACACAGAGGTCTCCTCTGCCTGAATGTGAGGAAACCCCTCACAAATGTCTGGGCCATCACTGTGACCCCTGGTGTCGTGACCCCTAGGCTCTGGGGATCTCCAAGGGCTGCTTTGATGATCTCCCTCCATTTCTTCAACACACGCAGGGGCAGGTGGGGAGGGATGGACGATGGGGGTCAGCACTAGGAGGCCTGGAGGAGCCCAGCTGGGCAGCGAAGGGTTTCCCAGGGGCGTCTTGCGAGGGGGAAACTACCGTGGAACGCCCCAGGGCGGCTCAGCACTCGGAGTCTGACGCCCCCCGGCTTCCCCACAGGGTGCCTCTTTCCCTTTAGTAAGAGTGCCTGTGAGTTCAACTACTTGCGGAAGAGGAGTGAATCCCAGATCATAAGCCCGGTCCCCAGCAGCCTGGTCCTGGCACAGAGCCACCTGAAGAAGCGGTTACCCTGGTATATCTCAGTCATCCATGAGAAGGTACGGCCACGTGTGTGCAGAGCCCGGGCAGACAGCCTGACCCTAATGCCCCAGCTCCACGTCCGGCAGGATAGGAGGGCCCAGCCAGCCCCCCGGGGCTCTTATTGGGGTATCTGGTTAGCTGTCCAAGCAGGTCCCCAGACGTGGCCAAAAATGACCCCCAGTACCCTCCTTAGGCTCCCATGACTCAACTGTTTTCCAGACCTTCTGGGCTCTGTGCATCTTCATCCCAGCGCGTGGCGGGTTGAGCTGGCATGGATCTCGTCCCCTCCAGCATGCAGCTGGCCACACGTATCATGATGTCAACCATCCACATAGCTTTTGACTCACTATTTCCACTTATAGAATATATTCTTGAAAACAGTAATAATCAGCTTGGTATGCAAAGATCTACCTACGAGTTGACTCGTTGTGATGTTACGCTCTGTGTCTTTGTTTGTGACAGAGACCGGCCCACAGTTAACCTGTCTGTAATTCCCTTGTTTACTTTCGGTGTCAGAGTAATTCTGGCCTCAGAACAAACAATCAAAAAATTGGGAGGCATTTTCTCTTTCGTATTTTATTCTCTGGAAGAGTCTGCATGAGATTGGCGAAGAATTCATCTTTGAGGCCGTGTGTGCCTGGAGAGTCCTCATGGGGCAGGTTTTCCAAATAATAAATTCACGTCCTTGAAAGATACTCAGACTTCCTTCTCCCTCTTGTTTCAGTTTGGATAAGCTATGTTTTTCGAGGAATGTGTCCATTACATGTAAATTTTCAGATTTGTTAGCCTGATCCTGTGCATAATGGTCTCTTAATAACCCCCTAACTTCTTTTTTTTTTTTTTTTTGACCGAGAGAGACACAGTGAGGGAGGGAACATAAGCAGGGGGAGTGGGAGAGAGAGAAGCAGGCTTCCCACTGAGCAGGGAGCCCGATTTGGGGCTCGATCCCAGGACCCCGGGATCATGACCTGAGCTGAAGGCAGACGCTTAACGACTGAGCCACCCAGGGCCTCCCCCCCTCCATTTCTGCAGGAGAGAGAGCCTCTTTCCCATTCCTGACAGTGCTAACTTGGGCCTTCTCTCTCTCTCTTCTTTCTTTTTTTTTTTTTTTTTTTTAAAGATTTTATTTATTTATTTGACAGAGAGAGAGCACAAGTAGGCAGAGTGACAGGCAGATGGAGAGGGAGAAACAGGCTCTCCGCTGAGCAGGGAGCCGGATGTGGGGCTCGATCCCAAGACCCCAGGATCATGACCTGAGCCGAAAGCAGCCGCTTAACGGACTGAGCCACCCAGGCGCCCCTCTCTCTCTCTTTTCTTAGAATCACCTTCTGTTGTTGGTGGTGTTTTAAAGCTGGTCAGGCTTCAATGACAGTCATGGGAATGAGCACCACAAAATGTTGGGCAGCTGGTGGGTGTGCAAAGCCCAGATAGTGTGGCTCCACGAGTCTTCATTTTACCTTTATTCCTGACACTCTGCATTTTCTGAGAGATGTCACAATTTTAGAAGTGTCGATATCCTGTGACCACTTTGGGGAAAGCAATTCCACGTCGGGGAAAGCCTGAGGCTATCATGAGGTAGAACCACACAGGTCTATGTGAAAGGATGTTCTCTGCAAACCGAGGGAAGGGGAAAGCTCACGTGTGTGAAGGGCCGGGGGAAGGAGCTTGGAAGCTGTCCTTAGGCTTCTCTTTCTCTCATCTCCACCTGGTCTGAGCTGAAGAGGTAGCGCGTCTCCACTGGAGGCAAGAGAGTCACCTGCAGCAACATGGCAGCATGGTGTCCCCTCAGCGGCCCCAGTGGAAACGAGCATCCCCTTTCCAGCAACCACTGTCTGGTGTGGGACAGGTGCGTGGGTCTGAATCACCACGGCCCGGGGGAAGAACGGTGATTTCTGCCAGGTTATTTTAGCTTAGCCGTGTGAATAATTCCGCGTACCCTTGAGATCCCCGCAGTCCTGCAGCACCTGCCCCTGCACCTCCCTCTCCCCCGCTCCCGGCTGGGTCCTCTAGTTCCCATCCTGGTTGCTCGGTCCCTCCCACCGTAGCCCGCAGCTCTTTCCTGGATCCCTCTGATGGATGCTCAGGTGTTGGTTCCCTTGCTTGCCCTAGCCGATGCATGGGGGGCTGTGAATCTGTCCTCTCCGCAGCTCAGTTTCACCCCACAAGTCTCAATACATCTTGACAGTGTTCATTATCGTTCTGTTTAAGACATTTTCTAACTTCCTCTGTGCCTTCTGCTTCTTTGGTTCACGGGCCACGTAGGAACCTGGCACTTAAATCCCAAACATTTGGAGGACTTCCAAGTTCCTTTCTTTTCCCTCCTGGGACTGTGCAGGGTGCACTGCGGGCCCGGGGCCTTCCTTTACGCTGCTCTCAGTTCAGAGCTGCCGACGGCAAGTCCTTCCATTTCCAGCTATCCAAACACGTTGGTGCCATGTCTCCACCGCTGAGGAATCGAGGGCACTGAGATTTTGAGCACGGAAGGTGGAGGGGCAGAGGGTCTGGCTCCCTGCAAGCCCCAGGGGGTGGCTCTCGGAGGGTGTTGCTGGCTCGTTGTGGGGCCGTGCCCAAGAACCGTGTCTCCCACTGCGACTGGGGGGCTGGCCAGGACCAGGCCTGAAAGGGAGGCTGCCAGGAGTTTCCCCAGGCGAGGACTTGGTCCCCACCCTTGGGCAGGAGTGGCTGGGATTTCCAGGTCTGCTCTTCCTGCAGGCGCCCAGAGAGGGTGGGTCCGGGGCTGGGGGGGAAGCCTGCGTGCACCCAGGGGCTGTCCATGCTTCTGTGCCCAGGATCACTGCCTGCTCACGCTGGGGGAGGAAGTGCAGCGGCTGTCCACGATGGAGGTGCTGCTTCAGAAGAAAGATGAGGAGGTCTTGGCCCTCCAGGAGGAGAGGGAGGCCTTGAAGAAACAGCTGAAATGCCTCCTTAAAAGCAAGGGCCAGGAGACATGGGTATGCCAGTGCATGAAGGTGAGTGGAGGGCCCGGGCTGCAGGCTCTGCCTCCAAAGTGTCCAAAGCTCCTGGTGGCCCTCAGGCCTCCGGCAAATGCCCCGTCATCCTGGAAGGCTGCCACATCCTCGTGGGTAAAAGAGCTGTGAGCTGGACATCTAGACCTCTGTGTTTGGCTGCCAGCTTGCTTTCCCACCTGGGACAGGTCGTGTCGCTCCCTGGACTGTTTCCTTACCTGTAAGCTGAGGGCCAGCCCCTCTGAAATCCCGTAGGACGGAAGGCCCCCTGCAGGTGAAGTCTCCAGACCTGGCTTAGCCATGGGCCCTGTGGGCGTGGTGGCCCGGATTCGCCTGATCTGTTCTGGCTCCAGGACGCTCAGTGTCCTTGCCTATACAGCAGGGAGGTCTGGGCAGAGGACTGAACTAGGCAGGTCCTGGTGGGGAAGTCACCCGGTCTTTCTAAAACCTGATTTCTTTCATACCTGAGGATCCAGCCTGGCATTATGCTAGGGGCACATGGGAGGGGGGTGGGGGCCTCGGACCGTCACCAGATCCCCGAGATGCCACCAGAGAAAGCTGCCTGGACACGGATGGTGCGGTACCAGCAGGCAGGGGCAGCAGGAGTCTGAAGAGGTCTGGGAGCATCGGCTTGCCTTCCCTGTTCCCCGGCCTCTCAGGGGCTGTTAGAGAGGCGTGAGCCCACACTGGGCCTACAGGGACATGCAACGTGGGCATGGCAGGCTGGCCCTCCACTCTCGGAACAAAGCGGGGGTGCCCATTGCTGCAAGGCCACTCCCTGGGGCGGGTCCAGGGGAGCGAGAAACCACACTGTTCCCAGGGCTGCCCATCTGCAGGTCACCGTCCCCCCAGGGCTGCCCATCTGCCGGTCACTGCCCCCCTTCTCACCAACACAGCACCCTTGGCAGGAAGACACTTGACCCCCCTCTCCCCTGCAACATGGAGAGGCTGCTGTCCCCTTCCAGAAGGACGGGTCTCAGGACATCAGCCGGGGGAGCTGAGGGGGCAGTTTGGGACGCTGAGGCTCCTGTGGCCACCTTGCAGGAGCCAGTGCCAAAGCTCGGCGGGAGGCTGAGCATCCTGAAGACCTTCTTCCGAGACGAGGAGCTGCAGCACTGGAGGCAGGTGCGGGCCGCCGGGATCCTGAGCAGGCAGCTTTGGCCCCGGCTACATCTCCGGGGCTGCCCGGCGATGCCGGTGCCCTCCCTGCAGCTCCGCGTCGTGGGCCCTCAGCCACACCTGAGGGGAACAGGTGCAGGGGGGCAGGGCAGCTCCCGGAAAAGGGACTCCAGCTCCCCTGCCCGCCCTGCCCAGGTGCGGGGCAGCCGGGCAGTGGCGGTCTCCCGAGACGGTGCAGCGGGACGCCGGCACGGCGGCTGGGGGAGTGCTCCCTGCGCCCTGCTCGCCTGCCCAGTGCCCCCTCCCTCTCCCAGCTTCAGGAGGAGTATGCCGTGACCGGCAGAGGCAAGGACCTGGAAGCAGCTGGCGGCGAGGAAGAAGAGGCGGCAGAGGAGACGGCGGATGGGGAAGGGGAGGGCCCGGCAGGCAGGAAGGGGGCCGCACCCAAGGAGGGGGGTGAGGAGCAGGAGCAGCTGGAGGAGGAGGAGGAGGAGGAGGTGGTGGAGCTGGAGGAGGAGAAGGAGGTGCAGGAGGAGGAGGGCCAGCGCAGGAGGAGCTCCCGCTCCCTGGAGGAGGCTTTCGAGCAGGAGCTGATAGCCCAGCTGGAGGAGTACGAGCACGTGATCCAGGAGTTCCAGACCGAGCTGGAGGTCACCAGGACCAGATACTCGCTCGCAACAGGTGGGGTGCTGGGGGCCCAGAGCCACAGGTTAGAGGGTGGCCCAGGGGACCGAGGGACGCAGGGCAGGAAGCAGTAGCCCTCAGCCTGGGGCCACAGAGCCCCTCTGTCTCGGCTTCCTAGCCCCCTGCCCTCTCTCCCCTCCTTCCCATGCATGGCTCACACAGGGGCCATCACGTCTTTACAACGCCAAGTGGATTTCCAGGAATCCCAGCTGCACATGTTGAACATGGAGAACGAGACCCTGCAGAAGGAACTCCGGGAGCGGAAGGACCAATTACAAGCCATGTCCAACAAGGTGGCCATGCCCGTCACGCAGCGGTCACCAGCAGCCCCGCCCATCCCCCCCATCCCGAGCTGGGGCAGCCTGTCCTGGGTCACACCAAGCCCCCTGGCCCTGCACTGCCCGCTGGCCCGCACTGTCCTCCCTTGGCTGCTTGGCTCCCGGTCACTTCTCCAGCATCCCCACGTGCTCGAGTCCCAGGGTTGAGCGCACGCACACTTAGAGAGGCTGCCCTTCCGCCAAGCCCACCCCTTGCTACATGTTTTGTTTTATCAGTTATTCACGCACACAACCTAAAGAATGAAATAGTCCCGCAGGCTTGTCACACAACAGGGGCGTGTCCCATCCTCTTCCCTCTTATGTGCCCATCCCCCAGGGCGACTGCTCTCAACTCTTCTTCAGGAATCACTTTGCAGGTCTACAAATGGCATGCTTCTAACACCCATTCTGGAATTTTCTCCATCCTAGCATTATCAAGCACTTCCCTGTTTCCTCCCCTGCCTGGGGCCCCCAGCACAGGCAAGTCGGCCTCCCGCAGGTGCCGTCCCACCATGATGGGATGCTCGGGGTATGATTGTCAGCAGCTCATGCCCACCTGGGACTCAAACACAGGTGTTGCCGAACAGGATTAAGTTTCCTTCTTTTCTGATCTACTCCCATGTTTTCACTGGAGCACATCCTGCAGTAGTCTTCTGATAAAAGAATGAGTGGGTGTAAATTTGTGGGGGCAGCATATTCTGCTAATGTCCTTATTCTACACGTCAGTAGAATTTGGTGGGATGCCAAACCACAGCTGGGAGAGCACTTTGCGTCCACAGTGACGGCACTGCCCCATGGGCCCGAGCAACCAAGGCTGCTGGGGGGGGAGTCCTGGGCATTCCCAATTCTCACTTGCCTGGGACCGTGGTCTGGGTGCACTGCTGCATCTCCAGAAAACCACTGGGCTCTTTGTCCCAGGTGTCCTGAAACTCCGCTCTGGAAGGTTACGTTATCTTGTTTTTTCTTCTCTCCGTCTTGTTTCTTGAACACTCCTCCTGGCGTCCCCGGAACCCCGTTCCTCCTCCTCTTGCTGTCCACTCCCTCCTGCTCCCCATCTCTGGGTCGTTTGCTTTACGGCCCATGTTCCCAGCACTTTATCCACAGCCACCTCCTGTGCTCCCCTTTGTTGCACGGACGGCTTCCGAGATCTCTCTTGTTCTCCCACGTCCTTTTTCTTCTTTTTATTTATTTATTTATTTATTTTTAAGATTTTTATTTATTTATTGAGAGAGAGAGAGAATGATAGAGAGAGAGCATGAGAGGGAGAAGGGTCGGAGGGAGAAGCAGACTCCCTGCTGAGCAGGGAGCCCGATGCGGGGCTCGATCCCGGGACTCCGGGATCATGACCTGAGCTGAAGGCAGTCGCTTAACCAACTGAACCACCCAGGTGCCCTCCTTTTTCTTCTTTTGTTTCACGATTCAGTGTCTTGTCTATGCCCCGCGGAATACTCATGATCGCCGGGCTCAACTTCCTGAATCTTTTTGATCGCCTGCAAGTGCCCTGGGTCCCTTTGTCTTGGTGTCTGTCATTCATGAGAGACCCTCACTCGTGCCAGAGCTGAGTGGGGTCTCTGAGCACACAGCAGTAAGTTTGTGCTTCACACGCATGGGCACGTGTGGGCACTTCAGCCGAGCGTGCAGAGGCTATCTTGTCAGTTCTTCGGGGAACCGGGAAATTTCTTGCCTGGAATGAGAAGGCCTAGCTGCCAGTGTTCTGGGAGCCAAGATGGGAAGACAGCGGGGGCATCCACATTTGGCACCCACATCCCCCATCTGGAGCCTGGGGGGTCCACCCTCCACTGCACCTGGCACCTCCTTAGCCAGAGACTCTGCTATGCCCCCGACATCCAGCCTCTCACCAGGTGAACAAGACACAGGCTTCCAGTTGCTGGAGGGCTGGGACGGGTCTGCAGCTCTTAGTTTCTGGAAAAGTATCCACTGATCCTCCCCATGTTAGGTTCCAGATCCAGAAGAACCACCAATTTCTGAGATTTGAGGACCAGAAGAGTGAGCTGGGCTTGTTTTCAGCTCTCCACCCCTGCTGGTTTAGGGTCTGGCCTTCCGGGCTCTGCTCTCCAGCTCCCCATGTGTTTGCCCCTCTTGTCCTTGGCAGAAGTCCCGCGGCTTTCATCGTACTGAGGCTCAGGGAGAAAAGCCGGATGCAAGTGTTCCATCTGTCCTCTTGTCCCCGACTCCCCCTGAGCCAACCCCCCCGTCTGCCTTCCAGTTCTCCAACCTCAGGGAAGACAAGAAGCACGAAGAGATGATGGGCATCATCGAGAAGGACAACATTCTTCTCCGCCAGGTGTGGTTAAACAGCCAGACCGCTGTTCTTGTTGTAAGTCCTGACAGCGCGGGCAAGATGAGCTGGAAACCCCTTCGCAGTGAGTCGGGCCCCCCTTCCTTAGGCAGCACCCCGGTGAGCGCATCGCAGGAGCGCGAGCGCAGCACGCAGAGGCTCCTTGCCCTTGCTGGCTCCATGAGGGCCGGCGGTCTTGCGGGGGAAGGACGGGCGGGGAACACGGGTGACCCGTCTGGGCCGGGTGGGCCTACTCCTCTGTCCTCCCTGGCTCCCCTGCAGCGAGTGTTGGAGCTGCAGAGCAAACTCGAAAAGCAGGAGCGCACCATCTCGGAGTTCGACGCCACGGTCGGCCAGCTGCAGGCCCAAGTGAGCCAGAACCAGAACCACCTGCAGAGACGGAAGTGGCTGCAGGAGGAGATGCTGAGCAAGAACGAAATGATCCAGCAGGCGGAGCAGCAGGCCCGCGTGGCCCTGGAGAGCGCCCAGTCCCGGGTAGGCCCCGCGTGCGCAGCGCCCGCGCCCGCCCACCGCCGAGGGGGCGGGCCGTGCGCCGAGGGGGCGGGCCGCGCGCCGAGGGGGGCGGGCCGCGCGCCGAGGGGGCGGGCCGCGCGCCGAGGGAGGCGGGCCGTGCGCCGAGGGGGCGGGCCGCGCGCCGAGGGGGCGGGGGCTTAGGCTCACTCCCCCGCGTAGCCCCGCCCCGGCACAGAGTCGGCGGTGCAGAAATGGTGGCGGAGAGCGTCGGTGCAATGGGGCTTGCACACTGGGCGGGGCGGGCCGTGTCTGGCTTGTGCTGCGAAGGCGCGCGAGGGTTTGGGTAGCCGGCCAGGAAGGAGCACTCCGGGGCCAGGGGCACCATCTATTTATAGCTTTCGGGGTGCGTGCAGGGGTCGGGCACCGTTCTAAGCAGCCCAGTGAAGTCTAACCTCGTGAACAAAGCTAGGAAGCAGGTGTTCTTAGCGTCCTCACTGCTCACAGAAGGAGCCTGCAGCCGGAGGGGCGAAATAACCCTCTGGCGCCCCCAGAGCTGCGTGGGGGTGGTGCTGGGATGTGAAGAGCCCGACCCCATATCTGAGCCCCCGTGCTACACGTGAGCAAAGGCACAGAGGGAGGCCGAGGTGCCCTCTGCTGAGGGACCCAGGCCAAAAAGGAAATCAGCGAAGAGCCGACCAGAATCCAAAAACCAGCAGAGAGAAAGTCCTGTGCATGTCGGCTTTTGAAAGAACACCTTCCCCGCCCCCCCGCCAGAGTGCCTGCTGTAACGGGGTGTGTTCTCCCCACCCGGAGGAGCCAGCCTCCCGCTGGACGGCTCGGCAGCATCAATGACGGCCGCCACCCGCTCTCTCCTAAAACTGTGTTTGGGATCCAGCAGTCCTCCCAGCTAGAGTGTGAGCAGGGGATGGTGCATCATCGGTCTGGTTCTCGCCTCAGTTTGGCAGCGCCTGGAATGCTGTGTTGAGAAAGTTTGTGGGGGCAGGTCTGGGGTCCTCCGGAAGTGGTGCTGTGGCCCGTGAGTTACGCCTGCAGCAGCCCGGGCGTGGGGCACTGTGGCTGGACACTCCAGGTGACCGCCACCCCTTGCCCAGCAGCAGTCACCTCCAGTACAGGGGGCAGGCCGCCCTTCCCTCGGTAACCCCTACACCCAGTAGGGTATGGGGCGCAGAGCTGGCACCAATCCACATTGGAAAGAAAGGAAGCCCCCTCCCCACCCAAGGTCCAGGGGCTCCTAACATGCCCTGTCACTTCAACGCTGTCCCAGGGGCAAAGGGGACCGTCCTGCAGCCCTTTTGAGGCAGTGCAAACTCTCTTGAGGCCGGCTCTCACGTGGCATTTCGGCATCATCAGGGCTTCTGCTCATTGAGGGTGAGGAGCGGGTGCTGAGCTGCCACCATAACTTGGGGGGCCCATCTGAGTGCTTCTGGGGCTCAGAGTGGAGAAGATGAACAATGCATATCAGCACAATGATGCTGATGGCAGCAAGACTAGATAGCCTTAGCTCTGTCCTAGTTAACTCCTGGTTACCACCCCGTTCATGGCTGGTTAATGCAAACAGCGAGCACTGCCTCACCATCCCAAGAAAAGGAGGAAGGGCTGGGAGTACAATAGGAGGGATGGCCAGGTGTTCCCTGCAGTGCTAACAGTGAGGGGCTGATAAGCCTGCAGGGTGTTCCTGGGGGCATCCCGGAGTCTCCCCTGGGGGCAGGGAGTGCCAGCTCCCTTGTGGACGAGAGGATGGCCTGCGGGGTGCTTTGGAGACCTTGTACTGTTTTTTCTTTTTTAAGCTGTGTGCAGGTTTTACTTTTTCAATTAAAAAAAAAAAAAGTAGTAGAAAGTCTTAAAGCCTGGATGCCCAGCCACCCTGGGTCTGGGTCTTGATCTGGCACCTTCTAGCTCACAGGCAGACCAGCTGGCCTCTCCAAACACTTCCAGTTCCTAAAGCTTCGAAAAGTGAGGACAAATCTACCTTCTGGAAGGCTTTACTCAGGGGTGGGTGTAATTCGCCCCCTCCTTCCCTTTGCTCACAGCTTGAGAGACTGAGAAACAAGATCATCCAGGCCACCTTCAGCACCTCCGGGGTCAAGTCCTTTGCCACTGAGATCTCTGACAATGACATTCTGGAAGCTTTGCAGGTATATCCAGCACTGGGCTGCTGGGTGACACTTGCTGATCTGCAGCGGGGGGCTGAGGGGACCCCCATTCTCGTCCTGGCTGTGTCACCACTCACTGTGCCCCTGGGATCAGCCTTGCTCTCTGCTTAGGCAGAGGGGACCAGATCTCCCCATGGCTAGGCTGCTCTCAGCGTTCAGCTCCGGGGTGCAGTGGGGAGGGGACCAAGCTGCTGGGGTCCTGGAGATTCTCCAGCAGCAGGAGCAGCCTGCCCCCCCCACCAGGTTCTGTCCAGTTCAGCCTCTTTGGGGATGCTTCTTGGCACCTCAGCGTGGCCTCAGCTGGAATCCTCGTCTGCTCAGCCAGGACCCCGGCATGGCCCCCCTTCCCTGGCCTTGGTTCAGGCTGTCGTCCCGATGACCCCAAGCAGAGGCCTCCCGGGGCAGTGTGGTGCAGGACAAATAGTGCAGGCTTTGGGGCTGGCAGGGGCAAGCCACCACACCCGTGGGCCTTGGCTGACAAGCTGTGGGCTGGCTCTTGAGTTCACTGAGCAGTAGAGCCTCCCTCTGCACGCGGGAGAGAGCCTGGCTGCCTTCTGGGCATGGTGGGGGGAGGGCTCTGGGAGAAGAGCCCTGACTGCCACGTGCTCTGTGCAGGGCCATATGGACTCTCACCAGGGGCCGCTTCTGTCCCCACGCCCCAAGCCTCCCACGGCATGGCCCTTTGCCCCAGCAGGTGCCTATGACCTTCCAGCACCCACATTTCCCCAAGACCTGATTTCCTTCCTCCTTTGTCATGGGGTGGGGCCCTGGTCGGCAGTGCCCCTGTAGGGTGGCAACAGTCTGGGGAGGGGGGACACCTGCAAGAGGACCCGGGGAGAGGTCTCTGCGGCCTGGCTCCTGCTGTTTGGTGTGGGGGAGGGAGGAGGGAGGGAAGGAGAGAGGGATGGGAGGAGTCATCAGTACCCGCCAGTAGTAGCCAGGAAAGAAGCCCTTTCCTCTGCGGCACACAAAACAGTGATGCGCCAAAGCAGCAGAGGTGAGGGAGGGTCTGGCCATCTCCCTGTGCGCAGGACAGAAGGGACTTGAGGGACAGACTCGATGGCCTCTGAGGTCTCTTGGTCTGGGCCGCTCGACATCCTCAGAGGACATAAGAAGTGCAGTTAGCGCTGCTGCAGGGGAGAGGTGACGCCAGCCCGTGGCGGGCTGAGTTCTGCAGCTTCATCCCGGGGCGGGATCAGCAGGGGTGGGGAGTGTTTCCAGCACGGAAGTTAGCAGATGCCACAGACCAGAGCTTTCTCCGCTGGAGAGCCCGTCAGGTCAGCGCCCCCCGCTGCTGCGCCCCCCGCACCCCGCCCCCGCTCGGGGAGGAGAGGCGGGGTTCCCGCCACCGAGGCCCGGGCTTCTGTTGCAGAGGATCATCTCTGAGAGAGCCGACTACTACAATCAGCTCAAACAGAAAGGCGCCAGAGTGCCTCCCCTGCAGCAGACAGAGGCCTTGTCCTCCCCGAACAAGTCCAAGAAGATAACCTCCAAGTAGACCCAGCCCGGGCCCCCAGACGCCAGCCCGCCCGGCGGAGGCCGGCACCCAGCTCAGGGAGCCAGCCCTGTGCGGCCCGGCCTTTTCGCTTTAGAATTAAACTCTGCCATTGGCCATGAACTCAGCTTTTCCGTCTCCTGGGACTCGTGGGGGCTTGGGCGACCACCACAGCCCCCATCTGCCCCCCTGGCTCCTTCCTGGGGAGACCCCCACACTGAGCAAGGGCCCACCCCTGAGGCCCAGGCTTAGGAGGCCCGAGACCCGGTGCCTATCCGCCCCTTCCCGACACCTGCGGCACAAACCTGTGCGGTGGGGGCGCCCCTGGCTGGGGCACCGCTTTGCGGCTGCGACCCGTCTGGGCGACAGTGGAGGCGATCTTCTCCTCCTGTTCCCATCACTGCTGCGGGAGTGGAGGCTCCAGGAGGCCAGGCACCCTGATCTGCGCAGTTCGCCCTGTCTGCGTCCCGCACCCCGCGGCTTTGGGCACAGCAACGCGCTGCACGCAGGCACCCGCCCGCGGGGTCGGCTCTCGTCCTCCACCCCCACCCACCTGTGCGCGCCGCCGGCCTTTCCTGCTTCGCGCTCGCCGGGGCCCAGGGCGGGAACCCGAGGAACGGAGCTGGGAACTCCGCGCAGGCTCCCCAGGGGCGCCCCGCCTGGGCCGCCTCGCCGGTCGGGTCAGACTCAGGAGCGCCCTGAGGCTCCAGGGCCCGCTTCTGCTCCAGAGTCCGGCACCCGCACGGTCTGGGGGTGGACCCGCGCCCCCCCCGGGACCCGTGAGGGCCCTGTTGCCCGGGCAGCCCCTCTCCCCTGCAGACCCTAGCCCAGGGGACCCCCTCTCCTCTGCCGACCCCGTGCCCCTACGGCCCCCTTTCCCATGTCGCCTCCTCTCCCCTGCGGCCCCTACAGCCTTTTTCCCTGCAGCACGCACGCCCTCCGGCGGCCGCGTCCGGAACACCTGGGGCCTGGGGTCGGCGGCCCCGTGCGGGCTTCGCCCTGCCCCGCCCCCAGGCCGCCCCGCCCCCCGAGGCCCCGCCCCTCCCGGCCGGGACACGTCTGCGCGGCGGAGGGCAGGAGGCGGAGGCGCTGGTGGGACGCGCGTCGGGGGCAGCTTCCTCGGGCAGGCGGACGGAGGAGGTGGGCCTGGCCGCGGCCTCCCTGCCCTGCGCGCGGCCGCCCGGGAGTCCCGGAGCTGCGGGGTGGGGGCGGGGGGAGCGCTGATGCGGCCGAGCGACCCCGGGCCGGGTGGCCACGTGCGGGAAGTGTCCGCCTGGCTCCTGCTGTCTCTGGACACCCCAGCGCTCCCTTCCCCTTGCCGCTCCTCGAAGGGCCGCTCTTCTTCACCTTTTCTTTATTTTCTGTTTTTTGTTGTTGTTGTTGTTGTTTGAGGTTGCAGGCATCGGCCGCACCTCGGACCTTGACCTGCGGCCTGGGAGGAGGCGGGAGAGATCCACTGGCCGGGCAGAGACCACCTGACCACCTTCCTGGGCGCCGGAGCCCGGGCCCCACGCCGGGACTCTCCCTTTGTAAGTTGTGGGCTCCTCGGAGGTGCTTTGGGGGCGAAAGGGTCTAAGGTATGCGGTGGTATCCCCAGAGGGTCCCCAGCTTGGCGGGTGTCTCCAGGTACAAGGCGTGACCCTCTGGTGGGGGTTGGAGAGTGAGGCCCGCAGGATCCCAGCTCTAGGCACCTCACCAGCTTCTAGTGGCTTTGTTCCACCGAGATGACTTGAGAGCCAGGCTAGTCTCCATCAGTTAGGAATACTTTCCGCTGCCCACGGCAGGAACCCAGGCTTGAATAGGTGGGGGTTGACTCTTCTCACCAAGAAGCCCAAGGGTGGGTAATTGGTGTGATTTGGAGAGTCCACACGATAAGGGCTGGTGTTGCATGGGTATCTGGGCTGCAAGGTGGCTGCTGCAGCTCTGGCCATCACGCCGGGGCAGGAAGAAAGAAGTGGCTGCTATTTCCTTGGTGAAAGCAAGAACCCCCCAGCTCTGCTACACCCCAGCCCTTTGCCCTCATCCGGCTGGCCTGGGGGGCCAGGGTATTAAGCTTGTCTTAGCCCCTGGCTGTCATTTGGGGTGGCACATTGCTGCCTGGCACAGAATGGGACTCTGCTCCAGGGGTGGACAGGGGGTGGACGTTAGGTAGACAGCTAGCAGAGTCGGTCCAGAGCCCCTTTCCCAGACACACCTGGGAAGGCACAGCCCACAGTCCGCAGACACTTGGCATCCCTTGGGCCTGAGAACGGCCCCTGATCTGAGTGGCTGTGGCAAAGCAGGTGCTCCCACCTGACAGGCAGGCCTTGGGGCTCGGAGACAAGCTCCCTTCCTTCTTCCCCGCTGGGCTGGGGTTGGGGAAAGGGACGACAGGGAGGCACGTCAGGAGTTTCTGGGTTGGCCTCTTGCCGTTCAGTGGCCCGCTGTGCCTTTAAGCCTGTCTCCAGGATTCTGTGGGAGGGGGTCCCTAGAAGAGAGGCCCCTGCCTTTCCAGCCCCTGGACTCCCAGCAGGCCCAGGTGGCCCCCAGGCTCCGGCTTCTCCCGCAGGCGGTGTCGGGGGCGAGGGGCTGCAAGTTGGACAGGCCAGAGGACACTGGACACGCTGGGTCGCTGCTCTGGCGCTCCAGGCCTCCCCCGACTTGCCAGACAGGCCGGACCAGCCGCCGCCCCATCCTCTGCCTTCCCAGCCTCCCGAGTCGCTCTGGGGCCTTATCTGTCAGGAATGGGGAGGGAAGGAAGGCAGTTATCAGGTCAAGGACCCACGGGATCCTGTGCTGTCCTCCAGGGTGGCCTCAGCTCTGCCAGAGGCCTGCTCCTTCCCCCCCCCCCCCCCCCCCCCCCCCCCCCCCGGGACTGGGCTGGGTGGAGACAACCTCTCACATTCCTGAGGGAAGGGTTTGCAGCCTCCCTGGGTTGGAATTCCTGCTTGGCCTCCTCCCATGTGACCCTGGGCAAGTGGCTGGGCCACTTGGCGTCCTGGTCCCCTGGTAAGCCAGGTGAGAAGATTCGGGGGAAGGAACCAGCCCACCGTCGTGTCCCCCCACCCCCCGCCCCTACCCCCAGGCAGACCCTGGCCTTAAGCGCAGCCCCACACGGAGCCCCAGCCACTGCTGTCACTGGGACCATGCTTGACAGGGAGTCAGGGCCCCGCACGCCTGCCTCGGTCTCCTCGTCCGTGAGCGCCTAAGCCCAACTTCTGCCCCTCTTGCCGTAGCCCCCGCAGCATGCAGCCCCAGGAGAGCGGCGTCCAGTACAGCAGGTGGGATGACCGCAGCCGGGATGAAGTCCACGTGGTGGCTGGGTCCAGCCCAGAGGAGGCCTGGACCTGGGAGAGGTGAGGGCCCGTAGGCCCGCAGGAGGAGCCCTCCACCTCCTCGTCCCCTCCTGGCGGCTTCCATGCTGCAGGCCCCCCCACCCCAGCCCCAGCAGTCCCAGCCACCCTGGGCCCTGCACCACCTCGCTGGGCTCCCTCCTGTCTCCCGAGTCAGCAGAGCATACAGACCACCCTCCTTCGGGGTCCACCTGCCCCAGGGCCCGCTCCCTTCCAGCCTAGCCCCCCAGTCCACTTGGGCTCATGTGGGGGCGCTTCTCTCCCTAGGATCTCCCGGAAGCTGTGCTCGGGCAAGCTGGGCATCGCCATGAAGGTACTGGGCGGACTGGCCCTCTTCTGGGCCGTCTTCATCCTCGGCTATCTCACTGGTTACTACGTACACAAGTGCAAATAAGGCTGCCCAGCACGCGCACTTGGGGCTGGCCGCCCGTGCGTGGGGACATGGGCTTGGGCGGACACCCCTGTACGCCAGAACCCCCTTTGTATACACTGAACCCCATATACACGATCCTCGTATACAGAAGACTTTTCTCTCTGCGCAGACGCACGCCCCCACCCCCGACACGGACCCCAGGGTGCCGAGGTCACTGGCCAGCATGTGGGCACACAGGCGAACAGGGACACAGGAGCACGTGCCTGGCGCAGGCGGCCAGCCCGAGACACTAATGGCCGGGAGACTGCGGGACACGCCTCCAGAGCCCCTGCAGAGGGCCCAGGCCTGGCAGCCCCAGGGAGGGGTCCTCCCTGAGGGGACCTTGTGGGGCTGTGGGGCCCCGGGGAGGCCCCTGCCCTCTCTGGGCCCTCTGACCCCTGCTTTGCAGGGATGGCTCTGAGGGGGCCGTGTGTGTCCCTCTGCCAACCCCCGAGGGTGGGGAGTGGGGCCTCAGCCCTTGTCTGGGACCCACCACCCAGTCTTCCCTGCAGTGAACTGGCCGTCCCCCCCCGAGGGAGCGGATCCGGTGGGAAGGCGCTTCCCCCACCCTGCCCTGTGGGAGCCTGGGTGCCAATGCAGCCAGTGAAAGTGTGTTGGATGAAGGATGGGTGAGGGCCTCTTGCAGGAGCCCGGGCACCTGCCCGGTGTGAGGCCAGCTGGAGGGCACTTGGACAACAGTGGGAGGCTTGTGGGAAGGGCCCGTCCTCCCTCCCACTTGGCTCTGGGCCTTGGAATGTGTCTTTGCCTGGCTAGGCTGTCCTGTGGGCCGTGAGCCCCTGGGGGCAGGCCCGAGGACTGGCCGCTGGCGGGGCCTGTTCCTGCCTCACCTGACCGGCTGCGGACAAGGCCTCGGCTCAGAGGTTCAGTCCTGTCCCCCTGCCTTGTTCCCAGTAGGTGCCCTCCGGGGCCCTGTGTTCACCCCCACCTACTGACTACAGGCTCATGTCTCAGGCCCCATAGACCCTTGCCAGAAACACCTTAGCAGATGCTTCTTCCCAGAGGACTGAGGGCGGGAGATGAGGGACAGTCAGTGTCCTCGTGGAGCCCGACACCGGAGGGCACATGGCAGACCTGCATGTCAGAAGCCAAGCTGGCAGGGAAGGGCAGAGGCCCCATGAGCCTGGCTTGCCTGTTAGGGACGGCTGCACCACCCAGGGGGTCCCTGTCTCTGCCCGTAAGGAGGGTGTGGCGCTGGTGGGCCGGGCCTGCGCTGGGGTCTCCAAGCAGTGATGGGGGTCTGCTGTGGGGGGGGACGAGGGAAGCTGGTTAAGAGGCAGAGGTCTGGTCCAGCCAGCCCTGGTCTCTGGGCCTCAGCACCTGTCCCCAAGAAGACCCCGCTCCCGGCCCTGTTCGGCCACACTTGAGGAGGGAGGCGTGCCGCCGGCCCACATCTGGCCAGCCTTACCCTGGTGCCCCTGCTGGAGCCACCACGGGGGGGCACGGGGGGGGCACAGCTGGGTTGCATGGGCTCTAGGACGTTGGCAGTCTGCTCCTGAGGTGCAGGGGCTGGGTCTCTCCAAGACTGGGTGCAGCCTCTGCCAAGAGCCAGGCCAGGGTGCTGGACGGAAAAGAGGAGGGCCCGAGGTGGCTGCCGCCCACCACTCCTCTCTGAGGCCATTCTGGTCTCCCTGACTTCCGAAACGCCTTGTGGGCTTCAGGGTCCCACTGTCTGAGCAGCCCCTGGGCAGGATGCAGTCTGCTGATGGACCGGTCAGGCGGGAGGGGCTGGGGGCCAAGGCTGCAGCATGCTGAGGAGGGAGGACAGAGCAGGTGGGGCAGCAAGGTGTGGTCCACGCATGAGGGGCACTGTGGGGAACCAGTCTGGGGGCGGTGTCCTCAGAGCCTCCCCAGCTCAGCTCAGCCCAGCACTGCCCAGTGATCCCCGCAGGTCCTCACAAACACCTCCCTGGGTCGGGGGGAACCCCATGGGCAACAACAGATGACAAAAGCCATCTGGATCTGATCTTCGTGCTCTGTGCGCCCCAAGGCCCAGCAAGTCTCAGGATAAACAGGGTGCGCCAGCCCACTCCCTGGTGGACGTGCGTGTCCCCTTCCATGGGCTGCACCAGCGGCCGGGCCTCTGTGCGGGGAGACTGCAGGCAGAGGCCCTTGGGCCACATACCACCTCCTTGTGAGCTGCCTCCACCAGATGTGGCCCCGCAGGCCCTGGCCAGGGAGGGGTGACAGCACCCTGCTGAGTTGTCGGGCAGTCTCCCCTCCCACTGAGACTCAGGAATGAGACCGGCTGGGGGCAGGTGCCCTGGGAGGGGGTCCACCTCCCGCTCCAGACCTGGAGGGCCCAGCAGCCTCTCTGGGCAGAGCCTGTGTGATCATTAAGCCTCTCTTGCATTTTGCTGGCAAGATCTGGGCTGGGAAGGGGGGATTCAGGTCCTCTGTTTCCCCAAAGTCACTACCCCGAAATACTGCCAAGAAAGGATTCACTGGGGAGGAACACAGATGTTATTAAATGATGTTTATTAGTGGCCTGGACCGGCAAAGAGGAAGGATGTCTGGTTTCCAGTGGTAAGTCAAACACATCTGCACACCTCACGCGGGGCTGAGCTGCATCAGAAAGCCAACGGGCCGGCACTGGGGTCACAGCTGACAGGACGTGCCCCCCCGCCCCGGCCACAGACCCACGCCAGCCAGGACACCCACAGCAGTCGCCGCCCTGAGTGCCCAGGGCTCATGACAAGCCGGAGCCGCCAGCAAAGACGTTTGGTAGGTTTGGGGCTAACAAAACGAGGAAAAGCCACCATCTGGCCCACCTCCTTCAGCCCAGGAGGTGCCCAGAGAGCAGGGCCGGGTCCTACAAAGCGGGCTGGCCGAGCTCTGGGAGAACCACGTGCCTCCGTGAGCTCCCCCCACCCCACGTCTGGTTCTGATGGCTAAATGCATGGGTTCACCGAGCCTCTTGCAAACACTCCCCAAGTCTGCAGAACACGCAAACTCTCTCTCGCAGGTCACAGGACGTGACACCGACGGGGTCACTAAATACCAAAAGCCAGCTGAGTGTCTCGTAACCCCGCCAGACCATGAAGCAGGGAGGTCAGTAAACGCCACCTACCCCGTGGCCAGGGAGGGGTACCTGCGCGCAGAAACAAATGCGAACTCACGGTCTAGGGCCCGAGACACTCAAAACTGGAAATAACCTAAAACACAAAATGCCGAAGAACCGTTCGCACCTGGCCGCGCTCTGTGGCTGCTGGCTTCCAAGTTCACCTTCCGCAGCCACGCCCCTCGCCTGTCCTCTAGCTGGCTGACGACAGAACGTCCCGGCCGGTCCGCAACAGGGAACTGCGCGCGAGCCCGAAGCTGCGCGTTCTGACGTCTGGTCCTCTCTCCGGGGCCGCACGAGGGGACTCTGTCGCGCTTCCCCTAATGCATCCAACCGCAACAGGAAGAAAAAAATGCTTCTGCCAATTCTAAGGTCACCTAAAAAATATTTTTTCCGTAAAAAGATGATGATTTGGGGCAAGCCAGGGACAGGACGTCACTCCACATCGCGGCGGCGCTGCCAGCACAGTGCGGGTTTAAAAGCCGCTGTGTTGTAGGGAAATAACTGGTGCAGTCGCTGAGGTGCACGTCATCTAGCTTCCCGGTGCAGAGCTGAATGTCCAAACCTCTCAGTCTTTTTTCCCCTGAATAAAGGTATTTGCTGTGTTCATGTGATTTCAGAACGTTTTCAACAGTTAATTCTGATATTTGAGTAATTTCGTAGAAAGCGTTAGTAGAATAGTTTGGTGCCAGAAAGGCAAAACGATTCAAGTCTGTGGTAATGTGGCGTCACCGTGACAGGATGGAACCGTCCAGACAACCGAACAGAGGCGTGGATCTTAAAAACCACGGGGTGAGAACGTAACGAATAACTTAACGTCAGCACAACAGGTGCAGCTGAGGACCGCGTGGCGGAGCTGGTGGGCACCCGGCAGCCAGGGCTCAGCGGATCACGGTCACGTGGGGAGCGGCGAGGCCCAGGTCTGTCTTAGAAGGGTACACCACCTTCAGGTGCCCGTCCTCGTCAAGCACCCGGACCTGCTCCACCACCAGTGAGGCGCTCCCGGCCTTTTTGGCACCTGGGCTCCCGCTGGGACCCGGAGGCTGTCCAGAGGCCGCGTCGGCTTCAGGATCTGAAAGCGATCCATCCTCTTTATTTTCTAGTGTGTACTTGTTGATTTCTGCCATTTTCTGCAAAGGAAAAATATTCTTTTAGAGGCAACCGGGGCAGCCGTGCGTGCGAGGGGAGGCAGGAAGATGGAGGGCGCGCTGTCCGTCCCTGTGGCCAGAGTGCCAACTGGGCGAGAGCACGGACTCACCAGCACGAGGGCGTCCATGATCTCTTTACAGGTCTGCAGACTCGTAGCACTTGTTACTTCCAAAAACAGATCAGAAGTTGTTTTCTTAATCTTAAAAAGAAATCAGAGGGGCTTCAGGGAAGAATAAAGTTACCAGAAACATCAGCCAGTGCTCTGAGGAAAAACCTGTAAAAAAGGGTGCCACACAAACTGGGACCGTCCCCTTCCCAAACGGTGGGAACACACACATGGTGACGCTTGGTACAGCACCATGCATGACAGGGACATGGGCTCTGGAGACCAGGGGCCTCTGCGGGCAGCCTGGCGTACGGCCTGCACGGTCTGGCGTGGGGACGGGCCATCACAGACACACGGACACGCACAGGCCCTGCCCGACCTTCGTCTTCTCGCTGTTGGTTATCGGTGGGAAAGAAATCACGTCGCCATCCGCATCCACGAGGCAGGGGTAACTCTCCTTCCCGTCCAGTAAGTGCAGATATCTGCGGGGGGAAAACACGGAGGTGGCTTAACTATGGGAACGCACACCTACGGGTCACACTGGACAAATGCAAGCTCTTGAGACTAATCAGTGTGAGACCAGGGCATCTACGAGCTTGGGAGGAAGACGTGCTAAAGCCTGTCCTCACGTGGGCCTAGCGCAGCAGGCCACCCATACCCCACCCGAGCCGCTGGTGAGGTGGGCAAAATGCTGTAGGCCTGATGGCTTTGCTGTCGTCCGGGTGACCGTGCTAACCTCCCCCGTCCCTGCACACGTGCTGTGGGCAGGACCCCGCC